ACGAAAATACCCTCAAACACCTCTAGAAACTACGGAGAACAACCAAGCTCTCCATCCTCCGTCTCACTCCCTCCTCTCCTTGACCACCCCACCACAAACCTCGGCTACACCGATAGCAGCTGCTCCTACGACAGCCGTAGCACCAACACAACCGTCACTGCCACTGCAATAACCGAGCACGTGTCCTGTTTCTCCACTGCCACTACTACTACAGCCTTGGGCTTAGATGTTAACGTTGACTCATTCAACCATCTCCTACCGCTTGCGCCGCCTGGGTTTGACCCTTTTTCTCGTTTCGTCTCTAGAAACGTCTCGACTCTATCTAACTTTCGGTCGCTGCAAGATAACTTCAGTCACTTCCCTTACTTTGGATCGTCTTCTTCATCGACCATGACTTCCTCCGTCAATCTGCCTTCTTCCCACGGTGGCGCTGGAATGAACTACTGGCTGTCGGCGACTGCGGAAGAGAACGAGACAAAGGCCGGTCTGCTTAATGGTGGACTTGACTGCGTATGGAACTACTAATCACCAAAAGAGGCCTTAACTAATTAATAATATAATTGTGTTCCCGTTAGGGTTTTTATTTTATTTTCTAGGATATTTCTAAGTGTGTATCCAGGACCTTAATATTTCCCCTAGCTTTGAGTATTTGTTTAATTATGTAGTTTTAAGTTGTATCCGGCCGTGTTAGTTTTATTATCAGGTGCACAAGAAAAGTGTTTTCCGGACTATTTAATATTTTGTATAAGCTATTGTCGTTATGTAATATGTTTAACACTACATATTGATTTCATGGCTTCGCATATTTTGATGTTTACCACTAGATTAGATATGACCGTATTTACGTTGTGTCAATCGTGTTATTCCCGATATAATGGATTTATGTTATCGGTGGCCTTTTAATGAACACTAGTTTTCACTTTTCACCTTGAAGTGCTATTGCAGATTTGATATGGCGGTGATGCGTAGCTAGGTTTCCAGAATTAAAACTATTCCGAATCTTCGATAACAAAAGAATAATGTTGGCCGCCGAATATAGATGGTTGTCATAATTAGGTAACGTTTGTGGTTAATAATTTATGCAATTAAAGATGCTCGAAATGTAACACGTTTGTATGTAGTAGACTTAGTTCTAGCTAATGTTGACTTGTTAAAATTAAAGACATGCTGCCAAATTTAACTTCTCTCCGTTTACAATATCACTTACACAAAGTTTCAAGTCAGTAGAAGTACTTTTAATCCAGTGGTTTAATCAGTCTATCAATCCATAGTTCAAAACCGAAAACCAGTTTCAGTTAGGTGTATTTTTGCTTGCTAGTCGTATTAATCTAACAATCTGGGACTTGGCTTAATTGATAAAACATGTATTTGCATGTTGTTAATTACTTCCAATAATTTTAAATACTAATTTGGATTACCCTCAATGTCCTCATGCATCGTTCAACACTTAAAATATTAAATAATCATCACAGAGAGGAAGTAGTTGCAATCGAAACGGGGATGATGACTATATGCGCATGCTGACGAACGGACCACTCTCAAGTTCAGGTCTTGTACAACAGTCCACCTCACTTTCAGAAGGATGGCTTTCATGTTTCTATTTTAAGAAAGAGACATAATTAATAATACCTCTGTTTATTACCATTATGCGTTTTTATTTCACGTGTGTATATATAGTATATACATATATGTATGTTAACACCGTACCACCATCATCATCATCATTACTATCATCAATTATTGCTCTTGTTGCATCACCAAACCTATACTACCTAGTCCTTAGACAAATTCTTGGTCACAGACTCACATATTCGTCTCACTAAAAGGCAGACTTTCATGATGCCAAGGGATAAATGCTTATTATTTTCGAGCTTCCATTGATTACATTTGTGAAAACAAATTAAGTTGTTTGATGGATAAAACAAATTATTTCGGGCAGAACAAAGAAGTTGCAAAAAAGGTTTTGGCTGAAAAGAATTGACCAACATAATGTAAGTAAAAGCTCAGCTAGTTTACGCAATTCAGCTGAGTGATTAATTAATTGATGTATATATATAATACACACATATAAAAAGTATCATCAGCTGGCAGTCTTTTACTAACTTTTAAACGAAAAAATAAATATATATATATATATATATATATATATTTGCCTGTAAGCTGAAATGACTACAAGGTTTAAATCTTACTTTACCTTTGCGAAAGACGTCTGACTTTATACGTCATTACGCCCACACCGATTACGCCCAACATTTGAGTTATCAAATGTGATTAAAACGGCTGAAATTTGTTTGACAAAAAAACATAAAGCTTTATGGCAATTAACCAAAAATTCGTCAAATAAGTCAAATTCAATAAATGATGTTTCGACAGAATTTTTCAGTTTACAAGACTTTGAACTGTTGCAGTGGACAGAGCGAACTAATCCGTGTGTGCCAATTGAATCATTATATTTGTAGGACGGACAACAATATGTTGTGGATCAAAATTTTATTTTTATATAAACAATATGTTGTGGACAACAATATGTTGTGGAACAATATGTGTGGATCAAAATACACACATGGACAAAAACATTAGTGGTTTCTTCTATTTGTCCATGTGTTCACACCATTGCAAACCAAAACTCACTATGGCGAACAAAGACGTTTTTGTTGCAAGTTAATTAATTCGTCCCATCCACTGCAACCATTTAATATATAACTCAATTATTTGGCGAAAATACACTAGACTTAGAGTCTTGGTGTTTTGAAATATACACTTTTAAATGAATATGTAAAAAATATATATGAGTTCATAAAAATTACATCATTGCGCTGATCAACGACGAAACCATATATATATATATATATATATGCAGTGATTTATATATATGGTATCTGCATACTTACAGAAATACTGCTTTAGCTACATAAAGAGGTAAGTATAAGGGTTATTTTGTCGGACTAAAACTAGTTTCACGTATTTGTAATCTTCCCACCAGGAATATTCTCCAGATTTCTAGTTATATCAAGCAATAATTACAAGAACCCTAAGTATATTCAAATACAAGTACATTGCAATATGCATGTTTCGCAGCAAATGACAAAACCTGAGAGGCAAAAAAGGATAAATTATATTAAAAAACAAGATAAAACTCCGACGATGATGATGGGTCCTTATGTAGTTGTGGTCCCGACAATAATGGACGCTCCACGTCGTGCCAAGTCGCGGATGCTCAACCGTTGATGGACTTGGCCGGCGATGTTACGGGCACGTGATACGAGCATGCATGCAATGTGTGTATACGTACGTAATGAGTAAATGAGTGGAGAGAGTGGGCGTGGTGCATGGAAATGGCAATCCACGCGTCGTACGGGATCGGAACTTGGGCTTGGACGATATATCATTCATGTATTTAAAGTTTCAGGGTAAAACATAAAAACCCAGAAGAGACGAGAAAAATTTATAGTTGGAAAAGAGAAAATAATTGAAATTGGGAGGAAAGTGGAAAAAAAGCTACGGTTTGGACGTTTTCGGGAAGAAAGACAGCTGTGTGTGAGCATAGGGATATGGATCTTGATGAATGGTCTGATCATATATAAATGTATATACTGATATTAGTGATATACATGATGCATGCATCATGTATTTATTTGTATATACTTGAATGATTGTATCATAAAGTTTTGAGTTTTTGACTTAAAATTTTATCAATATGATGATTATCATATATACATGTGAACGTCTAAATGTAAAGTTCAAAAACATAGCTTGATTAATGATTAGTTAATTACTGAATGACATATTATATTGTAGACCATTACTATGTATGCCTAAACAAAAAAATAAAGATAAAGTACATCCCAACATGATTCATGTCTTTAATTTTAACGTAAGAAGGTGTCAAGTAGGAGGTGATTCGTAGCGTTTTTTTTTTGTTTTTATCTTGAGAAGAATCGAATGTCATTCAGAATTTCAAAAAAACTATCACGTCCGTCAACAAAAAAAACTTATTACAACAAAAATATCTATAGCCAGAGCTATGTTTTAAAATGTCAGTTGTTATAACTTAATTATTTCAAATAAATTTGCATAGATAGATCAAAACAATATTATCTTAAAGGCGAAGGAAGTGAAAAAATGTTTTTCAAGTTTTGCAGATTTGTCAGATGCAAAGTTATCGAAATTGTTGACGGCGTTCCTAATGCCTCAAAGCTAAAATGGGACATGTCCGAAGGAAAAGTCAACAAAAACAACTTAAGGCTTTTCCGAGAAACCAAAAGTTTAAAATGGGCCCAATTTAGGCCCAACTCATCACTTATATGGCCTAAGAGTTCAAGCAAGAGTGACTGATACACACAGACGAGAAAGAGAAAGAGAAAGAGAGAGAGAGAGAGAGAGAAAGAGAAAGAACAGTGAAGAATGGGAAGGATATTCACGGTGGAGCTTGAGGGAAGATCTTACAGATGCAGGTTTTGCAGAACCCATCTCGCTCTTCCCGATGATCTTATCTCTCGGGTACTTAATTTCTTCGATTTATTCAACTCTTACATGTTTCCAAGCTCTCATCTTTCTTCAAATTATATCATTCAGAATTGCTCTGTGTGGTTGTTACTTCGATTCCTATTCCTCGAAAAAAGATTTCTTTTGGAACACTTCGAAGTTTGCTTGTTTAGCAAGTTGGTCCTCATTTCTTCCTAGAAAATATGAAAAATCAATGAGGAAACTTGTGATTATTAAGAAAAATATGTTGATGTTGAGACTGCAGAGAAGAATTCAGGGGGGGGGGGGGGGGGGGGGGCGGAATTGATGTAAATTACAAAAGAAAATGAAGAAATGTTTAGTTACTGATATAATTTCTCATGTTTAGTGTTTTGCTTTGGGTTTAAAGGTATGAGGATTGGAGATTTAACGCTAGCTAGAAAAAGGGTTTGAGAAAAACTTATACTTTAAGCTGATTTAATCTTAAACTCTTGTGCCATTGGCTGAATAGGAGAAAAAGGAAGCAATTTTAACTTATGGTATAGTGTTTGTTTAGCTTTTGTTCGTATGATCTAATTATATCCATTGAGGGTTGTAAGTAAACCTTATTCTGACAATCTTTTTTTTCTTTTTCTCAGTCGTTCCATTGCCGCAGAGGAAAGGCTTACCTCTTCAATCGCTCGTAAGTACAATCTTCCTCGATATAACTACGTCCTTAATCTGTTTATTCAATGCCAAGCGGTAGAAAATTGCACTTGTCTATTTAACAATGTTAGGCTCTAGTATTCTGTAGATGCAATGTGAACGAATAGATGGAAACTGCCTTTGGGCTTTTACATATTCTGAATCTTTCTTGCTGATTACTCAAAAACTAGAATTTTTCTGCCTTATTCTTTCGGTCTCTCTCTGCATCGATACCTTTTTCTCTTTGCAATAGGGGTTGGATATTATGTAGAGCTGATTCCAAGTTAAAATTTTGAATCTCAGAGTGAACATAAGTATGGGTCCTTTAGAGGAAAGGCTGATGCTTTCGGGTATGCACACCGTTGCTGATATTTTCTGCTGCTTCTGTGGACAAAACGTTGGCTGGAAATACGTAAATCTCACCCCACCTCGCTCTCTCTTTCTCTTCGGTTTCACTTCTTGGGAGAGGTTTTTTTTCTCATTTCCACATTGTTGCTTTCTTGTTTTGTAGGAATCAGCGCATGAGAAAGCTCAGAAGTATAAAGAAGGCAAATTTGTTCTGGAAAGGTATACTAACATCTTCTCTTCTAAAGCTCTATGGGTCCTATAGTTTCAGCTATAAAATGGGGTTCATTGCAATCCTTTTTTTTTTCAGAGGAAGGATCGTTGATGAGATAGATTTGTCAACAGAGGTTTACATCGATACTCGAAGCGACACGGATGATTCTTAAAAAACGTTAGCTTTTTAGATTCTTTACCTTTTTGTGTGTGTGGAATAATGTTTGTCAAGATCAGAGCTTTATTAGTGTAAAAAGGTGTAGCATGAGGTTTATAGAAGATGTGTCATGGAACCTGCTGTGTTGTGTATTGTATCAAAGACTCTCAAAGTCAAAAACTTTCTTCATGGTCTCTTGTTTTTTTTGTTTTACTTGTGTAGAGAATAAGTGATTTGATCAGTTGAATAAAAAGAAATTGCATTTGTTTTTACAGTTATCACTTTTTTTTTTATTTGTTATGCAGTCACAATTCCAAACCAAATCAATCCTGAATTCAACTCAGTATTATAAAGTATCACTTTTTATTTATTTGTTATGCAGTCACAAATCCAAACCAAATCAATCTTGAATTCAAACTCAGTATTATAAAGTATGAATTCTTTTTACACATATTTCATCAATCTCACAAAGGTGGAGAAAACATCAAAAATATAAAGTTTGTTTTAACTATTTAAGATTAATCATATATTGAATCTGGTTGATACTAGTGTATACATAACTTACCTAGAAACTTAACACCGAGCTTGAAAGTGTTCGCATTTGCCATTTTACCATTTGTCTTTCACTTTTCTTTTCCACATTTTCCGATTTTAAAAAAATTAAATTTTTCAGTAACATAACAACGAGACAACGATACACTAAAGAGATAAAGGAAACATCCTCATCCGTTTTAGGAAATTTGAAAATTTAGGGTTCTTTTTTTTTTTTCCTTTTCTTAAATTAATAAATTCAATCGACTTACATGTGAGAAGGCACATTGGTAACATCCGTTCCCGAAGAGATATAAGAGAAAGTGGGTTTTCCTCAAATCTAAACGATTCTTATTTGTTTTAGTCTTCGATCTCTTTGTTCTTTGGGGTTTCCGCAGGAACAGATTTAGAGAAGAGCAAGCGATATACACACAATGGGCAAATCTGAATCGTCCTCAAAGAAAATTAAACGCTCTAAAGATTCGTCTAAGGTACTCTCTCTCTCTTTCTTGTAGCTTCGAGGAAAATTGGGATCTTTTTCAGGCGATTGAATGGATTTTTAACTTGCCCATGATCTCTGATGTATATAATTTAGGTCAATGAGAAAAAAAAACCGAAACTTTTGAATTTTGATTTTGAAAGTATCGACCTTTGTTACATTACGAAGTTGTTGAATTAGGGATGAATAGTTTATGAATCGTTGTACATTTTTTACTGAAATCATCATACCAATGTGTTGTTTTGCAGCTGCGATCTGTGAAGAAGAAGAAGACGAAGAGAAGCAAACCGAAGAAGATTCGTCGGATCAAAGACTATTCAGATGAGAGTGAATCAAGCGGTTCGGATTCTTCTTTGTATTCTTCGTCTAGTTCAGAAGATGATTACAGGAGAGAGAAGCGTCGGTCTAAAGTGAGCAAGAAGAAGAGGTCACGGAAGAGGTATTTTAGCAGCGAGAGTGAAGATGATGATGACGATGATATTCGTCTTTTGAAGAAAAAGAAAAGGTCTAAGAGTAAGGAGGAACATGCAGGGACGAAGAAGAAGAATAAGAAGAGAACTGTCTCGAGAAAGAGACGTAAGAGAGATTCGAGTTCAAGTTACAGTAGCAGTGATAGCCAGAGCGATGACGGTAGTGAGAGTGATGGAAAGAGAAGGATTAGGAACAGAGGAAGAAGAAGCAAAGATGAGTTACAGGAATTAAGTGAACCTGATGAATGCTGGCAAGTGGACGATGAAGTTATGGGCGAGAAGAAGAATCCTCGAAGGCTTAAATCGATTGTTGTTGTATCATATTCTTATGATAATGATGATGAGAGAAAGAAGGATCTAGTGGATGACCATGGTGATGAATCTGATGGGGATAGGATTGTGGATGATGATGAGAGATATGTTGAAAATGGACGTAAAACTGTTGGCTATGATGAATCTGAGGAAGATATTGGATCAGAAACCAGCAAAGATTCTTATCCAGACAATAGACTGAAGGATGATGACTTAGAAGCCATTCTAAAGCAGAGAGCATTAGAGAATTTAAAAAGATTTCGTGGAGAGACCCAAAAGAATGAAATATCAAGAGAAGAGGTCTCTTCTTCTGTTTCAGAAGGAGAAGAAACTCTGCAAATTGAATCTGAAAAAGCTGAAGAGCCACAAGACGATGGTCTCGTGGAGCAGAGTCTCTCTGTTTCCGCGGGGAGCAAAGATCTTGAGGCTTCACAAAAGATATTACAAGTTGTTAACGTCAAAGAATCTGGAATGGGGTTGGCTGATCTTGCGTCTCAGCAGGATCAGCAGCCTGGTGATAGTGCCAAGGTTAAAGCTAGTTCGGGTCTTAGCTCTTGTACAACTAAACGAAAGCTGATTAGACCGGTGCTGGGACAAAAAGATTTAGTTCTGGCTAGCAGGAAAGATGCTGAAGCAGAGAGCATCAGTGGTAATACCATTGACAAGAGTTGTCCAGAAACTTCACTGGCTCTGGCAACAAAGAATGTAGTTGAAAACTTAGAACCAACAAAAGGTAGCTCTACGTCTTCTTCTCATGCCGAGACTGAGCCATTAGATGAAATCGAAAGAGGGTCTCAGCCTGAAGAGAAAACAATTGATGAAACAAAGGATGAGTCACAATACGAAAAGAAAACCATGACTGTGATGAGGGGTGGAGAAATGGTTCAGGTATAATTCTTGCAATGCTTGGAAATATCGATTCCCTTGTGGTTTTCTAGGTAAAAGTCTATATGAGTCCAGACTTTTATGTTGAAACAAAGTAATTCCTTTTCCCTTTTGTTCAGGTGAGTTACAAGGTCTACATTCCTAAGAAGACCTCTTCTTTGGGAAGAAGACAACTCAGGAGATGAAGCGACGACATGAAGATAGTCTATTTTTTGTTTTGTTTTCAGTGAAATCTAAACACAAAGGCTATTTTAACAATGGTTACCACCAAAGTTGGGGACAAATTTTTTTAAATTATCATAGACTTGAATCTTCGAATACAACAACGAAAGAGTACATTAAGTTTCATGTCATGTGTAGTTGTAGCCACACAAGTCCACTAATGTCTGGTTTTCATGCTACTCTTCTTGCTGGTCATTAGGCATATGTGTACGTTCCATTGAATAGCTGAATCCTGATTTATCTTGTTGCCTCTTTTTTGATATAACACTGAAGCAATGATTTAGCTATCAATAAACTCCCCCTTTCTTGGTACCACTCATGCATACCCAATCATCTATTGTGGCTACAGAAATGTTCTCCAAGAAGGGAGAGTACCGTTCTGTTACTTTCGGAAGCTGCAAAAACGAGTATTGATTTAGTCAGTCTACAGTCAATTTGCTCGGTTCCAGTGACTTTGCTTGCTATAACAATAGCATGAAAATTGTAATGAGAGTCAGATGATAGAGATGACTGTTTATGGAACCTGTTCAGAGAGGATCCCAGATACGCCAATGGTTGCTCCGGGTTTAGCGAATGAAAGGATATGGTCCGCCAACTCCATAACCGGGTTCAAGAGTATGTTTGCTATGACCACATCAAACTGTTCTTTCCTCAATGGTATTTCTCTTCCCGAAGAGCTATCATCATCACTTGGTGGAAGGTGCAGCTCCAGTTTCTCCAAGGGAATGTTGTTCAGAGTTGCATTATGACTTGCAGATTTTATTGCCAGAGGATCAATATCAACACCAACGGATGATGCAGCACCAAACTGCGAAATTTTCAAACGAGCGATATACGCAAAAGGGTACATGAAGATTACGAAATAAGATGATGATTATGATGTTGTAATGGTTGGTTTGGTGAAAGACTGAGAAAAGGCGTGAGATTTTTTACCTTGAGGGCTGCGATTGCAAGTATTCCTGAACCAGTACCATAGTCAAGGAATGCTTCTCCGCCTTTTATCAAACTTTGTAGAAGCAACAGACACAGCTTTGTTGTAGGATGTTCTCCAGTCCCAAACGCAAATCCAGGGTTCAGAATTATGTTTACAGCTTCAGCGACCTCGCAAAAGATAGTTGAAAGAGTACTTTAACCCACACATAAGCTTACTATATAAGCTAACACTAAAAGAGGGAGATTCATATTCTGCAAATTCAGCAGCTAAGACCGCAAAACAGCAACAAGAATCCAACAGGGTGCAACGGTTTTGTCAGCATGAGGACATAGTGAAGAAAAACGTTCAGAGTGAATGGTTATATATACATACAGGAGGAGATGTCCACTCAGGTACGATCCAAAGCCTCTCGGCGATTTCAACAGGCTGAAACAATTCCTGCAAGATATGAACCAAATGATAAAAAGCTTCAAGTGGCATTTGCCGCAAACAAAACTAGCCATTGAGTCGAGAGTTTTCTGAGCATAACCATGTAAGTTCTCTGAAAATGAAACAGAACGATGAAGCAATTACTGAAATGGTTCCTTCCTCTGTTAACTCAAAACTCACCTGGTTTTTGGTTATCCAGTCAAGCTCATCTCCCATTTCAACTTTGAATTTGGGTATCTCTTTCAAGCCTATCGAATTTGCAGCCTGTGAAATGCACATTTTCACCTCCTCATTCACTGGAAATATCGATTCTATGCATATCTGCAAATCAACCCAAAGAGCATAAGCATTGATTGATGAGACTACAAGAACACAGACAGATCAAGCTGAAATGCATGGGACAGAGCAAAATCGATCCTTTTATGCTTCAATTTTGTTCAATTCATACAAAAGATTGCTGATCTCTCTCACCCACTAGAGAATGAGAACAGAAATGAAGCTGAAGAAGCAATAGAGTTTTCATAGTTTTTCTTCACCTCTTTCGAAGCGAGAGAAGACCCAGAAGCCGAATCTTCGTCGTCTTCTTCGATGTCTTCATCTACAGCTACTGAGCTCGCTCCAAAACACAACAAAGCCTCTGAGAATGGATCCTAACAAACCCAAATGAAAAATAAACAAAATTTCAGTCTCGTTTGTACTCTTATCCACTTAGTTTGCGTATGAACTGTATGAGAGAGAATGAGAGATAACATACGACGACATGTTTTGGACAGTGGATACGAACTGAGAGGTAAGGTGCAGCTAAAGACTCAGTAGCAGAAGGAAAGCACGAAGACGAGGAAGACGTAGAGAGAGACGCAGAGATTGAGGGGAAACGGCGAGGTCTGAGGATTTGGCGGGAGAGATTGAGATTCTTCTGGTAGAAATTGCACGGAAGGTGCTTGATGAAATTCCAAGCTGACATTTTTATTTCCTTTTTCCTTTCGTGGAAATTTTCCTCCAAAATGTCAAATTTAAACACTTTTTCAAAGAAAAATACTAAAATTGTAAATATTCCTCTGAAGGCTATATCTATAAATAGTCAAGAACAAACAAAAAAATGGATAATTGAAGCTACAAGAAGAATGGGTTTCTCTACTAATCCTTTCTCGTTAATCGTACCTGACTCTGTTTTCGACCTTCTTCAACACCGTGTCTCCGCCGCTTCCGCCGTCTCGCCATCATCCTCTGACGACGACGCTAAGTCTGGTACGGCTATTGACGATGTCGGCTGCTCCGCTTCTCTCTCGACTCAGCTCGTCGCTGTCTTCTCTCTCTTAACAATCAAACCTTTCTCGAAGCTCGAAGCCGAGGATTTCGCCGGAGATACGCCGCCATGGACAACCTGTTTCCTCGGCGACTCTGACTCTTATTCGTTCCCGTCTTCTTCTCATCAAGCTGGAAACAGAGTCCATGAGAATGTCAAGCGATTCGCCAGGAATTACGCAACACTCTTCACCGTCTTCCTCACTTGCGCACTGTATGCATCTATACGCTTTATCTCACTAAAAAGTCTTAAAAGTTTCAGACTTTCTTAGCAAGATTGGATTAGAATTCACTGAGAAACCTTAAAGTTTGAGCCCTTTTAAAAATAAAGCCAAATTCGATTACAATTCACTTTGTTATATTCTCCTGACTGAGTTTTGTAGGTATGAGATGCCATTAGCATTGCTAGGGGTTGTAACAAACTTAGCCTTTTGGGAGTTATTCAAATTCTGCAGTGACAGATGGGAAAACAATCACCATCCCATGATCCGACAAATCGTAGTCTGTATAGCACAATGTGGTAAGTATACCTAAATTTGAGGCTTCTTTGAAGTTCTTTGTTTTGCAGACCTTAATGATATATATAGCTTAAGAAAAGTAATTGTTACTTTGGAAAATTAATCTGCAATTCTTTGCATTTTTGCCCCCTAAATTACAGCGACAGTGAGTCTATTGACGTATTTGAACGTTCAAATGGCTATTTTCTATGCTCTTGTGACAACTTATACAGGTAAAACTAATCGCATATATTAATCGTCTCTTTTTTTTTATGAGATGATGATGATGATGTTTGCACTCTTATCTTCTTTGTAGTTGTGATATTGCACGGCGGGTTCAGGAATCTCAACCTTTCTGAGAAGCCATCTGAAGGAATATATATAGAACCAAGTCTCGATTTAAAAGACTAATTAACAACAAACATTGAGATGGCTCGAGGAATTTTATTATAAGTTTTGGATTTTGGATTTAACGGACTATATGTGTGTTTTATATATATAAACGTTTCTATATCCATGAAGCAAAATGGAGGATCATTTTGGTCCATCTAAGGTTGTAATTTGTTACTTGCGAAATAAGATATCATATATATAGCTATATTAAGATTTCTTGTCATTTTTGGTTATCAGGCTAATTCATCCTCTATAGGATTTAAATATGGGTACTGAAAAACGACAACACTAGTACACACCAGTGAACCACTCGACTGCATGCAAGTAGTTATCACTTTTAAGATCCACGTAAAGCGGTTAGTATATCAGTTTGAATCTGTGGCTGTTTCAAAAAAAAAAATCATCATCTTCAGATGGTAACTCGAACCGACACAATGGACAAACATGGCTAACCTTAAACCACTCCACAATATACTTATTGTCAAACTGGTGACCACAACCACAAGCGTTTTTAAACTCCTCTAAACAAATAGTGCAATGGTTAGTAATTGAGCTGGTCGTCTTTCGTTTCGTCTTGCAGTTAGAAATTGAGCTGTTTTTATTTGGGCTTTCTCTTGTATCTTCTCCTACTCAAGGACCCTACTCCTAACTCGCTTGCGGGTCTAAAACCCAATATTCCTCTCAGAATCATTGAGTGAGGCTCGAATCGCCTCTTCGAATTGAGAGTCATCGAGAAATATGTGCGAATGTTTGTCATGAGTTAGGGATAATATATTTTTTTATTAGTTTCCATCAGATGTACATGTAAACATTGTTGAGACCATCGATTTTATTTTAACGAAGAGCAAACCACATACCAAATAGTTAAATTGAGGACACCCGATTACAGAAGCTAGAAAATCTAACCACATACCAAAGAGCGCAACCACAATCGTAAGTAAGTAATATTTGTTTATTAACTCTCCACTCAATAGTCAATACCAATATTTATATAACTTATATTACATGTTAAGGCTATAAACAAAAGAGAAGGGAGTAGGGATCGAGCATGTGACAAGATAGTAGAGGTTTCGAACACAAATCTTCAAAATCCTTTCACAAATTAAATCTTAATCTTTAAATTCTTTCGCAAATCTGATTTTTAGAGTTTTTATTCAACTTCTACTGATTTCAAATCAAGCTTCCCATTAGTATATACAGTATCCAAGCTTGGAAGCACTGGAGCATATTGTTTTGTATACGTACATTAATTCAAGGAGTTGTTTCTCAATATATTATACTAACTAAATACATGAAAGTTGTTTGGTGAAGACAAAATATTTAGGAAGTTTTAAATTTAGTAATAATATAGATCCGAATTTATCTTACTGAAGATGTATTTTTTTGTTTAATTCATAATAACACATTTTAATGTATAGAAATATTAAACAAATATGTATACTACAAGAAATCTTGAGCTCAATTTGACACAAACAAGTCGATGAATCAAATAATATTTGGAGAAAAATAATTATGCTAAAAAATATATATATATATATAATTTATTCAAAATAATTAGTCATAAAATAGATGAGGGATAATTTAAAATGTATGTTGCTAAACACGAAATTATGGGGACTTATGCTGAATATTTCACTTTAATAATTTTTAAATTTTTAAAAAACTAAACTTATAAATTAAAGGGAAAAGATTAATATTTCATTTACTTATTTTTTATACAATAAACATTTAATTGTTTAAATCTATAAATCATAAACACTACTATGATTTTATATAACATACATGGGCGTAGTAACAATAAATATGCAATTTAAAAGAGAGTCGTCTAGTATGATTTACTTTGTTGGAACAATGTTTTGCTGATAAATGTGTAGATCCCTGAAAAATCTTCTAATAATTTGTAACTTAACCAAATTCAGATTTAACTTTACAACCGAAAGTATAAGTCAATGCAGTTTTACTAGAAAACGCGCATGTAACCTTATATCCATAATTTTAGTCACAGGTCAATTAGCAATGCAAATTTCAAATTGCATTTTTCATCAATCTTGACCTCGTGCACTTCTTGAGGAAAAAAAACTTAAACATTGATAATTTTTTTAATTTTTTTAATATATTAGATTTTTTTTTTATATATATCCTAAACTAGTTCCGGTATGGAACGCACGGAAGTGCTACAAGAGCGGACTGATTGTTTATGGTTCAACGTTTCAACGGATACCATGAGCTGAGTCAACGAGTCATGAGATCCATGAGATCCAAAGAGCTACCGCACTGCCTATACCGAGTTGAAATGCCATCCGACTATATGCCAAGGGTAGTCAAGCCGCCTGCATTTTTGACTACCAGGTAAACCAATTGAGGCAAGACCCAACTGACAGACTTCCCAACAAAGTATTGATAACAGCAAAGGAGGAAAATCGAACCTGGGTGTGGGAGTTTCACCCCTTACCAAGCCCGTCCTACCACTAGCCCACCACCTTGCGGGCATATATTAGATATTGGCTATCGGACCTCGCAAAGGCTTCAAAATTCTTAAAGATTTTAAAGAGAAGGAGAAAGTGGAAGGGAGGAGTGTCACCGTTTATGATAGAGAGCTTCATAGGTGGATAAGCATCGATCATCAGGGCGTGAACTACAATTTCAAAAGATAAGCCCGCCAAGATTTATTTGTAGAAGGCAGCATGCATTGGATTGCTTATCACAAAGAAGAACTCTGTGTACTCTCCTTTGATTTCTTTAAAGAAGCTTTTCAACACCTCTCCTCACATATAACTATAACTGGTATAATCAACAGGTCCGACTCAAATATTCAAGATCTAGTGCCATTTTATACATATAACAAACAAAATTTGTAAAAAAGATTCTAAATTTTTTGAAAAAGACCCTAAATCTACCTAAAATTTGTAAAAATATAGATGGATTTTGTGCAAATGCTCCTTGAGCACATGCCCTCGGGCCTGATAATCAATGATGTGTTGTCAAACCACCGTGACAGGTTGTCTATGCTGTCCACAACGTCAGTGTGGGTTACTACTCCCACAATGTCGTCTCAGGATCCTCTATTGCCAACTCTCTCTCTCTCTCTATTCCAAGAAATGTTGCTATATCTCAACAACGTGTATTTCTACGTGTTCTATGAGCCAGCTTTATGTGGCTATGTCTACAAGCCAAGCAGGCATTGTGTTCCTTCACTCCCACATTAAACTTCTCTTCCCTTGTAATAATAAGTTAAATTTGCAAACAAAGCATTCAACGTGACATTCCTTAAGCTATGCCATTAAAAAAAATTAAAAAATATTGAACTAGAAAATTGTAGGGCTTTACCCCGAAGGGAACCCTTCCAGAAATTCTCGAAGGCCCAAGACAAGCTTAGGCCCAGGAGGGGGTTTGGAAATAGTTTTCAACCAGCAATAGACGCGCCTCGGTTAGTACCTCATTAGCTGCGTCATTGCCCCAAGCGCAAAGATGAGCTTTAAGCGAGGAAGTACTCTTCGTTTTATATACAAGCGATTCGTATCAACTTGACTACTACTTCCGATGTGGGACTTATTATTATAAGGGCTAAGTTACAAAAAGCATTCTACAAAAATGGGCCTAATTTGTTAAGAGCCTGTTTATTCGTAAGCCCAACTAATAAGTTACGTAAATGCCCTGCCACACTGGAGAAAACAGTTCTGTTTATTTCTTTTTTTTTTTTGTTTTTTGAACTTAACATATGTTTGTTCTGTTTATTTCTTTCAGAAAGGAGTTTTAAAACCAGACGTCGTCTTGCAAGATCACGCTTACACATATTGGTCTCGTGCACAGATCTTCTTTAATCCATATATTATATTAACATATATTATATTAATATTACATGCGATTTATTTGATTAAAATTAACATCAATCAAAATTTGAATTTGAGATAGTGCCAACAACGACAAACAGAAGCACAACTTTTTGTTGGTCGAGGTAAGATAAATTCTACACACTCAACTTAACACAATACAAAGAGTTTCATTTGCAATAGAAGACCCAATGCAAACTTAAACACAACGAGAGAAACAAAGGAAAACAAAGATATTTTTATAAAAAAAAAAACATGTAGAATTGTAAACTTAGAATCGGAACCCATCCAAGAGAATGTTGCCGATGCCAAAAGCCAAGTACGCATTCGAGGCAGCAAGCTTAATATGGTTGTTGTTGAGAAGAAAGTCATCCCAGTCGTCAAAGACGGATCCTAGATCAAGAGCATTCTTGCAGGTCAAGCCAAACTCGCTCTCCAACTTCATCAGAGTGTTGTTTATACTAATGCCCACAAAGGTAAAGTCAGGTAGATTTAAAAAGTTGAAGAGAAAGAGGAATATCGTCATCATTTTCTTTATTAGAGGGAAGATCAACTATATAGGCAATTGTCTCCATCGCAGAGCTGGAGCAAGGCGGTTTTGTTTTGCTTTCTTCCCTTTTGCACCCGTTCGGTGTCAAGACCAATGATCTTCTTCATGTTGTTTTTATTGGACAAGAATGTCTTCACAAGACGGTTTATGTCCCTCTCTTTTTCAGTTTTTGTCGTTTTGATGCTAGCTACTCCAATTTTCACAACCGACGTAGACATCTTTGAAGGTATTATGATGAGATAAAAGTATGGAGCAAATAGAAGATACGTTGCCTTTATATAGACGTAAAAGTGAATTGCAAAAGCCGTCGCAGTAGTAGAGGGAAAACGAAGAGTCGTAAGATGGTAGCTGTCTCGCGGGCCATTAAGATTCACGAGGCATTAATATTGGTTACTGTGATATTGTCATCAACAATTTCTGCATGGCCAGACGGAACCATTTTCCAAAGGCTTGTAGAATGAGACGTTTTGGCTACACGGGGTTTTAATTTTAATTCTAGAAAAAAATTGAGCCAATTAAAAATATGTATGTGTTTTGAAACTCTCTCACAAGTCTTTTATAATCTCTCAAATGAGAAATTTATCTTGTTCTCTTTTCTTTTTATTATTTTTTTAATGATGAGAGACTCATTAAGAAATTCCTATAGTGTTAGAGCATCAGTAATGCAGAGTCCTATATAAAGCTTTTTCTAATTTTTTTATTATTAAAAAAAGTTAAAAAAAAGATTTGTTTTATTAAAAAACAATCTTTTTTCTAAAAAAACATATTGATCAATCATATTGTAACACGTGGCGAAAGAATGAGGAGAGTCGACTCCTGCACCTCTATGCACATAATCGATTATGTGTGAAAAACTCTACATGTCATTTATTTTTTGTTTTCTTCTTTATTTTTAAAATTTAAGAACCGTAATTGTCTCTCCATTATAGTTGCTCTTAGGATGATAACCAAGTGGTGGTAGTCTAGTGGTTCTCACTTAAGAAGGAGTTACCATGTTGGTCTAAGTCATGGATGGATTCTCCTCAAACCTGGAAATTACTAACAATTTCCATTTGGCACCACAGATATGGATCTTTGTTTTTGACCCATTTACATACCCGAAAAAAGGATCTATCTATGGAGTACACCTCCTCCAAAGATTAGTCTGAACCCCTGAATAATGAAGAGTGAAGACCCCAAAGATCATTCATCTCATTTTTTGTAGTACTTAAGATCGTAAACATATATTGAAAATGATTTTTATGGATGAAAATTTGTTTCTTTGTACTAATTAGCTAATTTAAAATTTTTTTTACCAATTATTAAATTAACTGGTCACAACCTGAATTTCTTTCAAACAGCTCCATATATCATTTACGGTGACCCTTTCCTCAAATAGAAGATTTGGAAACTCCAAATTATGCCCAAATTAAAATTTATGGCGCCTACTTTCAAAAGCCATAAGTTCTGCTTCTCGTTTATAAACGCGGGGAATATTATTAGATAATACTTGTATTCGTTGCGGCATGGAGACGGAGACAATTCACCATATTTTCTTCTCTTGCCCAGTATCCCTTTCCACTTGGTAAATGTCTCAAACACCTTTCAACTTCCTAACCACCCCATCATCTGATACTGAAAACACCATTGACATGCTTCTCAACACCCAATCTCTAGATGGAATATGCAACACACAAAAACTTTTACCCTTGTGGCTCCTTTGGCGCATCTGGAAATCAAGAAACGGCCTTATTTTCAAACAGAAACCAATAACATTGAGTAAAGATATCAATGAAGCTTATGCTGATGTTGCTGAATAGTTAAAAGAAACTATAACATTTTTACCTTGCTCTACATGACTGACACCACAAACCTACTAGACTCGCCCTTTCCCTGGTTCCCTAAAATGCAACTATGATGCTGCCTATGATTATATAACAAAACAAAGTAGCGCAGACTGGATCATTCGAGATAACAACGGCCATCCCCATTATTGGGGAGCTGCAAATTTAGGACTTTCAACATCAAGCTTAGAAGTTGAAGGCAAAGCGTTACTATTAGCCCTTCAAAGTTCTTGGAGTATGGATTTTGAAAATATCACATTTGAAGGCGATTGTTTAATCCTTACTCAATTACTTCAAACTAATGATCAAAACATCTCTATTCTAAATTTGTTGGGGGACCTTCACAGCTGAATGTCTTGCTTCAAAGACATACGATTATCACATGTACAACGGGATAACAATACTATTGCACATATGTTATCTCAAAATGGTCCTCTTAATGGATTGTTTTACTCCTCCTGCTCTCAAAGGCCAAATTGGCTAAACAAACTTTTGTATTTGGATTTGGATTGTCCTAATTCTTGATTTAATTAGGAAGCAGAGGCTTCTGTTTATGTCTGATACTCCAAGGAAGCAGATGGACAAGCCAAATCCTTTCTCGTAGCTTACAAGTACAAAGAGGTTTCTGTATCCATTCTTAAATATTTAGTGTGATGGTAATATAAGATTTGTATGATGTTATGTAAGACTTGTTTTTTAATATTAATATAATATTCTGTTATTTATGTTTTGTTTGATTTATGAAATATACAAATTATATATAGATTTTATTAGTTATTGCAAGAAAAGAAACGATTTAAAATAAATAAAATAATATATGATTACAAAATAGTAGATCATAGCATCAGGTAAGAGTTATAGGTATATTTTATATAGCAAGCATACAATGCTACAAATAAAAATACAATAGCAATTAATATGTGCTTTAATAAAATATATTAAAGCATTTTATTAACGCTATAATAGAATAATTTATGATAGCGTTTTATACAAATGCTATTATATGAGGGATAGTTATTATAGCTCTCGCTGTGATAGCGTTTATGAAAATGCTATTAAACTCTTATAATAACGTTTTTGTATGCCATTAATATGCATATTTCTTGTAGTGTAATATAAAAATTATTGACAAAAAAAACTAGTTAACTATTTATATTGATTAAAATCATTTTTATATTATCTTAGACTTTTTAAGAATGATATTGGATTAGATAGAATGTATAAGAATTCAAAAATAATTGATTTTTTAAGTAATTTAAAGTGTTTTGTTGGAATTTAAACTAATTCTATCAAAATCAGAATAAAAAAGATAAAAATTGGTTCTTTACAATTTTTATGTAAGATTCTATTAAATTCTTTCTAAATGATAATACTATCAAACCTATTACAAAACTGAATAACACTAATATTTAATATAATTGAAATATTAATATATTGAATAACATTGTCAGTTAAAGAATTTTGAAAGAATAATAACACAAACATTTAAAAGAATTGTTAAAATATATCACTGAATAACACTGAAAATTAATGGAAACTTCAATTCTTTCCGATTCAATCGAACTTCTAAATTTAATCGAATTGATATTATATTTATTTTAGTTAATATTATAATCATTTATATTTTGTATCTTTGTTTTCTTCTTTCTTAAGTCTTGCATTGATCATTCTATGACAAATGATGTGTCTAGTTCATCAATTTTTAATTGTACCCGAGTCATGTTGCACTCGATGGGAAATATCCAAAATATATTTGAGTTCTTATCTTATTCATTTGTTGATACATTGATTTAAAACTAAAACAGTAATGCATCAGAAACTAGAAGCTTCACTCTACTTGTGCCGTTTCTCCAAAGGGCAAGAGAAGACTACGAGTAAACAAAGCAGAACCATTGTTCGGAGCTGGTCGGAGTCCGAGAATCTCTGCAATGACATTGTAGATCTGAACATTCTCGAACGACGGCACTTTCTTTCCTCTCCTAAACCTAGGACCATGTCCAATAAAGATGGATCTCATGGAGAAGAACATGTTGTCGTATCCATGATCTCCGTAACACTCTTGAGTGTTTGTCCTGTTCTGTCTAACTAAGATACCTTCTCCGACCATTCCTATGATCGGCGGAATCCGGGAACTCTCAGAATAATGCAGCCTTTCTGGTAGCTTCGCCTTCAAGTAAACCTGCAAAAACTCTCCGTTCTCTACTATCCCTGAGCTTAATGCTTCGTTCATCTTGGCTACGAGTTCTGAGTTCTTCTTGCCTATATTCTTAACATCTTTTCCCCAGCGCGGATTCATTGCTAGCACGGGGCTATAAGCCTGGATCCAGTCCGCGGGTATCTTGATCCAATCTGCTAAATCATCAATGTAAATCACTTTCTTGTCACAGTTAGTAACCATTCCGTGATCACCAAGCAATACCACATGAACATCACTAAACACCTTCCTCTTCTTCAATCCCTGAATGACCCTACCGATCATTTTATCGACTTTGGAGACGGCCTTTGTGACCCGATGGTCATCTGGGCCGTATTCATGGCCCTGTATGTCTGGTTGATCGAGATATAGGGCCATGAAATCTGGGACTTCACTCTCGGGAAGATCGAAATAGCTTAAGATCGTATCGACTCTTTCTTCTAGAGGAACCGAGACATTGTAAGGAGCTTTACAGAATCCTTTTGGGCACGTCCAAGAGCCTTTGTGGACGTCAGCGCCTGGCCAAAAATATGTCGCAGCTTTGCGCCCTTGGTTCACTGCGGTTACCCACAACGGCTCACCTAACCACCATTTTGGGTCTAGGTTTCTGTTGAAGAATTCCCCGGTTATCGGATCAGTGAATTTGTTCATGATTATACCGTGGTAAGCCGGGTAGAGCCCGGTGGCGATTGAGTTATGGTTTGGGAACGTCATTGTGGGGAAAACCGGGATTAAACCGGTCTGAGCTTCGGTTCCTCTTGAAATGAGCAGATCTATGTTTGGTGTCTCCGTCTTGAATTGGTAACCGAATCGGAAACCGTCGCTGGAATTAATAGAACCACCGGTTTGGTGATCTTCTTGGAGGTGTAGGATGTCGGAAAATTTGAATCATCGGCTGTGGCAGCTACGATGAGGACGATGAGAAAATGAACGATTAGAGATAACTTGCGCAATCGGTAACCGGAAAAACCGGACCGGCCAGGTTTACTTTCTGCCATTGAGAGAAAGTTTTGATGGTGGTTGAACTTAACAACGTTCATGTTACTTATAGAGCCGGTTTTATACAATGGGAAAAATATCATTTAAATGCTGAACTTTCAAATTTCAGCCATTCTAAGCATTACTTTTTGTGTGATCTATTTAAATAACAAATTTTTTGGTGACCGATGTTAAAATCATAAACTTATGTTGACTCAGCCATTTTAGGCACGACGTTAACATCACTAACAGATTGACTAAACACTGTTTGGTCAACGTCAGTTAGTAAATTCAATGTAATGTCTAATATGGCCAATCAAAATAAATTTATAATTTAAAAGATAATCGATATAGAAGTTTGTGATTTAAACTGTCCACGCAAAACTTAATGCTTATAATGGCCGAAATTTAAAAGTTTGGCATTTAAATAACATTTTTTTTTACTAAACGGTAACTTTTATTTCTAATTGAAAAATATCTCAAACTTAAGATTATACAATATAAAAGATTAAGAATCTTAAGGTTTTTGAACTTTGTAATTAGCAATAAAACTGATAAAAAAGCAGCTTAAACTTAACATATTGAGGTTCTTTGAGATAACACATGATTCACTTTACAATGTGATTTTATAAACAAAACCCAAATAGTTCAAGATGGTAAGATTACAATAGTTCTCTCCCACAACTTGAAACTCGAATCTTTCAGTAAAATTGTGATCATGAGCGATAAATGATCATTGTTTTATAGATTTTCTATTTACTAAACGCAAATTAAATTAATTTCTTATTATGATAACGCTAACGAGGTAGAACAAGTATTTTTGTGTTTGGCATCTTTGGAAAAGAAAAAGGAAAAAAAAAGTATGAAACGTACCCACTACACAAAGCAAATCTTTTTTTATAGTTCAGTTATATAAATAACTAAATATGAAACTTATCGTAATAATAGAGACATTAGTCGCATGCAATTAGTTGATAGTCTTCCTTAGTTTATTAATTGCATTCAACTAGTCATTTATTTATCACAATCTGTCGTAAGATTTGTATTCTTAAAAACTCTTTAAATGTGGTTAAAGTGATTTTTTTAAAGTTAAACTCAACCTTTTTCATTTTTTGTTGTTTTGGTGTAATGTAAATTTAATTTACATTTAAATATATTTTTAATTAGTTTGGATTTACTTAGTTTTGTAGTTATGTAAACTGGTTAAAATTGAAGTTCAGTTAGTAGAAAGAAGAGAAAAATGCATATACAAATATTTTTTTAATTGTATATTAAGTAGTTGGCCGACATGCATATACAAATATTTTTTTTAAAATACATAATTAATTATAATATTTAAATATTGATTAAAAATCTTATATATTTTATAAACGTTATATCTGTATACATATACAATTTTAGTATTTAATAATATATAAACGTTTTACATTATTTTATGTTTTTCGAAACTGATCTATTTTTTTTCTAATATTTACAATAACATATAATTACAAATGTGAAAATTATATTAAATAATAATTAAATTCTTATAATATATTTTAAATATTATCTATATTATACATTTTCTCTTTACATAATATAATCTTATCAAAATATATTTCAAGTATATAGTTTTCTTTGACCTATTGTTAATTAAACTAGAATAGATTATATCATCTTTATTTATCCAAAAACTGATAGAGTCTGATAACTAAAATTAAAATTGAACTATAATTAAGGTTAATAAAATGCATCCACGAAAAGTTCGCATGCGACTTCAACTTTTTCATAATTAATATTTATATCTACACGCATATTTGTGAATCAAAGTATAGTTTATATGTGTTAAAAAAAAACAAAATGTATATTTTATAATATATATCTTTATAATTTAGGTTAAATTTTTTTAAAAAAATACGTATATTTATACATGTAAATATGAGTTATAAATAAGTAAATTATAATATTTATGTGTTGATTAATTGATATGATATTTTTTGTAGACATTATATTTTTACACGATGCAATTTTTGGTGTTTAACAACAATCACATAAATCGTTTCCATCATTTTTTATATAATCAAAATTTGTTGTTTTCAGTATTTTATAATATAAGGTTTCAAATTAAAAGTTATATTCAGTATTAACAAAAGTTACAAAGAACTGTTAACAAAATCAAAATATAATATTTGACTTTATCATGAAAATAGATATAGTATATTAGATAACTTATTATTAATTTTCTTTTTCAATAAAAAATATAATAAATATTTGTTAGAAATTTTGTGAAAATATAGTTTATAAAAATCTCTTGTAGCTCTCCTCTAATTTTTCTGTCTAATATTGAAGAACTGGTTTAAAGAAGAAATTAAATTTCTTATGGTTGGTCTGCACGCATATGTTCATTATAAAACTTAACATGCACATGTGTTTATTATAAAATTTGCTTATTTATATTTTTAAATGAATACATAAACAAAGCTCGAGAGTATTACGGAAAAATAAAACTGTAGAGATTTATTTTTATTTTTACTTCTACTTCTCATTTATATTTGTTTCATCTTATTATAATTTATTTTTTATCCAGTTTTTTCTGTTTTATTTTTGATCTTAAATTTTTGATCAACAAAAAAAATTATATATAAGTATGATAAAATTATTTAAAAAATGATAAGAGCTAAAATAAAATAGTAATGACAATTGCATAAATTCCAAAAAATAACAATATAAAAAATATTTAAAAATTACCTACAAATAGTAATATATTATACTCCTAATATTATTAATATATAGAGTATTTACTACTTTATTGAATAATCTAATATTATTTTTCTTTCTTTTTTATATAAAATATAATATATATATATATTAGTTGTAAAATATTTGTATTTATATTTTATAAAATCTATTATGATTGTATGTAAAAAAAATCATAGTAATTATCAGTTTCTATTAATTTAATTTATTAATTTTGGTGTTATATTTTAATATATTTATATTTTAATTTTATATTTTATTTAATTTTAACTTAATCAATTAAAATATTTTATTTATTTTAGGAAATTTGATATATCATATTTACAAATCAACAAAAATCCTTAACTTTTATTTTTTTATAACGCATCATATTTTTTTACTTAAAAACCCTCTGAAAAAGTTACTTTATTTTTGGTGTTATCAACGTCAATTAATGCTACCAATTATTGCGGTCGCCTACGTCAAATTCGAGATTCAAGATTCAAATGGTGTAGCTACTGAGAGCTCTTGGATGCTAAACCATTGTAAAAAGAGATGACAAAACCTCTAAATATTATAGTTCTCTATCAAATTGTCATGTTTTTAGCTATTTATTACTCAGTTTGTTGGTGTTTTTTCAAAACATTATTTTAATTAAAGAAATATTTTACAAGTATTTATTTATTTATTTTTTGTTATGTTGACACTTTAGAGGAGAGGGATCCTTCTATTATATGGACTATGGAATACTATACGATTAGTAACTGTAAGGTTTTAACTAGACTAGGAGTTTGTAACGTGAGTAAACTCTAGTAAGTTCGTAACGTATAGACTCTCCTAATTTATATAGAGAGTGATCAGATAATTTTGAAGATGTACTGTTCTGTTTTATTAATGGCAATGGACATAACTTCATTATTAAGACACCAAACAAATAAATCTAGTTCAAAACAAAAATAAAGACACCAAACAATACGAACAAAACATACTCATCTATAGAATATTCAACTTTTATTGTTCTAAAAGAAAATCCAATATATTGCCTCTTCTGTATATTAATCTTGAAACAGCGACAATTTTAGATCATTTCGATATAAAAACGAAGTAGTTTGCAAAAATGCTTATCGACAGTCTTCTACCAATATATCTCAGATGTTTTTTCCCAATCATTCTCGTAACTCATAATAATACTTTGTTTGTGTAAAACTCATAATACTACACTTCAACTTACTCAAAAGGTCGAAAATATGCATTGCTTCAATTTAAATTGATCCAGTACATGGTTAATTAGGCACTAACAAGATGATCCTGGTACGTAATCAATGTTTAATGTGGTACTTCACGTTTTTCCATTATCCTTTTGTATAAATAAACGAATGAAAAACTAATAAGATGTAGTCTCAGTTATCCAATATAAAAGTTTCTGTGTTTTGTTTTGGGACATCTATCAGTATAATTGTGACTCGTGAATTGTTTTATTATATCGGTGACCATTGCTCTTATTACTACTACTAAGATTAGTACTCTCACCGACACTCTCGTCCTAGTTATGGTAAGATTATCGAACTTCCGCTACACCATGAGCTTCAAGAACGTTTCAACCAAACCGGGATTCAGAACAAGAACCTCATCGAACCACCATGTTACTCGAGCGGAGCTGTTCTTGAAACTCTCCGTGCTTTAAATGTCACAAGAAAACCGAAACAAGCTGCTTTCTCGTGAACAAGCAGAAGCAGCACTCGACAGTTTCTCTAACGATAGCATCCATAAAAAAAACTTCTAAGTTTATATATCCTTTAGTCAATAAATATAAATTTGTATGCATACAATACTTACAATCAAATTCTTAAGGATGGTTGGAGAAAAGAAAAAAATTAATAGGGATCTCTTAAAAACGGGCTAGTTATAAAAAAAAGGGAAACCTGTCAGACCGCCGTGTGACCACCCCGGTTAGAATTAAACCGAACCAAGTAACGATCCTGTACAGCACAGGATGCATCAAGAGATGATCGTGACCACCC